TTTGCTTTGATTTGTCTCATTGTTTTGGGAGGGGTTACCTGTGCTCATGTGCTGGCAAAAGAGGTCTTTTATAGTACACTTGTTATTAACATATCCAGATCTTGTAACAAACTAAATTTGCTTTTTTTTTTTTAAACTGTTTATTTGCTGAATAAGCTAAACTTTCCTACACACTGTATTTTATGTTCCCAGTGTAACATAATGATTTTCAATTTCCTTACCCCACCCCACACCCCAAAGGCTTAAACATTTGCAGGAATGTTTAACCCCTTAAGGACCAAATTTCTGGAATAAAAGGGAATCATGACATGTCACACATGTCATGTGTCCTTAAGGGGTTAATCTTGAAGGGTAACAACATCCAGTTTAATGAAATTCAGTACTAATCCATACATTTGAAATACATTTAACTGTCCACCTTTAGTATCTGATATAATGGTTAGTTTGTATGGCTCCAATGCTGCATATTTGGTGGCTTTCTCACTTGCTTATGAATGTTCCATATGATTTACACCACACTTGAAATTAAAATGATCACAAATATCTGTCAACACTAGCTAAATAATGACTGCACACCTGCAGAATTTTGGAAACCCATAAACACTACAGTGATTCTGTTCTAACTTGACCTTACTGCAAACAACCACATCTGAGTCAATTAGAGAACTTCAAATCCACCTCTGTTTTATGGCCTAGTCTTCCCTTTCCCACTATATTGCTCTATTTATATCTCCTTTTAATATATATATATTTTTTTTATTTGAAAAATATGTTAAGGGAATACTACAGCATTAGGAAAGTATTGAATCGTTGCTTCCCTATAGGGGCTTCTGCGTCACCTGAGTTCTATTACGTCAGTGCTGCAGAAATGATTCTAGTGGCTCTCATACTACTTAACTCTAGACACATTACAGTTTCTTTAAAAAAAAAAAAAAAAGAAACTGCTGTGTTTTGCACTGCAGGGTTAAACGGAGAGGGATGGTGCATCCAGACCACTGCATTGAGATAAAGTGGTCTGGGTGGCTCTAGGGTTCTTGTTAAACTTTAGTTATTTATATAGATTTTTTTTTTTTAATAAAATATATTTTTTGTAAATCAACATACCTGCTATTATTATCACTTTTGGCATTTATTGCTATAAACTGTTAATTGAAAGATATAAAGTTAAACCTAGCGCTATGTAATTGTCTTAACATTAACATACATTGGTGCATTCACATAAAATAATCTAAAAGTCTTAGCTTTTTAAATTTTTAATAAATTGTTACTCCATTCTTACCAAAGACCAGTCCATGTCTTTGATAATCTTTCTGTTCATTGCAGCTGTTACTATACTTCTTTTTGTTATATAGTCCATTAATATCCCTTCCTCAGTTCATTATGAACTCATGGGATTTAGTAAATGTATTACATGGTCTCTCAAACTCCACCATGAGTAATACATACAGGAGATAGAAATAGCTACCATTATACCTCCCTTCAGTTAATAGGGGACTGTATTTTTGCTTTTCCAGCACGTCAAGAGGAAATGGAATGCAAGATGTCTTCTTAATGCAATGAGATGTACTTGAAGCAAGGGTTAATACAGTTCACTGAGGTCTTCAATTGCTTGATTCACTTGTGTCTTATGGTATAGTGCAATGATGGCAAACCTAAGGCATGCGTGCCACAGCTGGCACGCAGAGGGTCTCTGTTGGCACGCAAGCCATAGGTTCGCATTTTTATATGCGCTTAATGACGGAAGTACAGGAGTCGTTGAGGAGTCACAGGGGACCCATTAGTTGGCTGATTGGTCATTTAAGGCCCTCACTCAAGGAAGGCATATCTCAAAGCAGAGTAGGCACCTGATTATCTGGATGACAGGTTCCTTGTTTGTCAATTATATACAGTGTCCGGGGGAAGAAAGGAGTTGTCGGCAAGGGAGTACTGATGTTCCCTCACTTCCAGCACTGCTCCCTGGTGCACTCAAAATAAATCTTGATAAATAAAATCAATTTGTGTGTGCGTGTGAGAATGTGCATATGGGTGTGTCTGTCACAGAGTGTGTGTGTCTGTCAGTAAGTGTGTTTCTTAATGTGTCTCTGTCAGTGAGAATGTGTGTTGGTTAAACAGTGTGTGCCAATGACTCTGTGTCATGTCAGTGTATGTGTATCAGTGAGAGCGTAAGGGGGTCCATGACTCTGATTCTTGCACCTTGCTTCCTAGTTACTCCTCAGGCACACTGTGCTAATTTCTTCCAATCCTGGGCTATGGGACTATGGGCTAGGACTATGATAAACCGTGGTGCTCAACCCCGTACACCTTCCAGTATGTGGCAGGCTGTTAATGGGGCAGCCCAAGTTGAGGGGTCCTGGTAAACAAGCTGTGTGGGGAGTGGAGTGTTTATAAATTGAAAGGCTGTAACCGCTTCCTTCCAGGGGCATAATATCAATTCTCTCACACTATTTACCATCATAACATTGGATATCTGGCCATGAGAATAAGGGGTCTTGTCACACCCTGGTGTTGGTAAGTCCTATGTAGGGGCTTGAAAAGCCTTCTGTAACCCCATTGTCATTGCCCGGGGTTAATTATAGGCCAGGGGAGTGAGTGTATCCAGGGCCTGCACAGGGGTTGCCAATTCTGCTAACAATATAGACCGCTGCAGGGGCTGCATAGGGCATTATTGATACAGTAATGGGGGGGACAGACAGATGGAGCAGGATTGGAGGAAGACCAACTTCTCATGTTATGGAGACGGTCAAGTTTTGTTTTTTTGTTTAATTTTTAATTAAATCTCCGTTTTTACATTTATTTGCAGTGTCGCCAATTTAAGATAAATAAGTCTTTTTCATGTTGCAGTTTTGGCACTCTGCTAAAAAAGGTTGGCCATCACTGGTATAGTGTATTGGGTGTATCTATCTCTTACTAATGGATTTGAGTGGATTGTTTTTATGTACTTTTGTAACACATACCAAAGTATAAACGTTGGTTCATCTAATTCTAGATATCTATAGTCAAAACACGTTGACTATAGAATCAACGTGTTTTGACTATAGATATGTAACTTTAAAATAAAAAAGAATCAAACTTTGCCATCATTACAGTGTGATCATTTTACCAGCTTGTTAAGGGTATTGTTAAATATCTGTAGCACTATGCCGCCCTGAAGCAGTTAATTGAATGGTAGTAAATAATTCTCCACAACTCTACTCTTTAAATGGCCATAGTTCCATTGTCCAACATGATGGACTTCACAAGGTTTCAGCACTAGTGAATTGTCAAGAAACAAGTTACAACAGGATTTAAAAGGTTACCAAGACACTCTAAGAAGCATAATAACCTTCAATCATTGCAAGTATTGTGGTGCAGAGAGTGCTTTGCATTCATTCTCCTTCCGGAGAGTGTCTTATGAATGCACAATTTGTAAACCTCACTGCACTCATATTACAGCTTGCTAATTCTCTCACAGCAAAGGAGGGATCTTTACTTCCTCCTTTGCTGTGTCTGTTTTGTAGGAAGGATCTCTCTACCCCAGAGAAAATCTGAGCTCACAACTGACCGTTCTGGTGGTTCTTGCACGTAGTACAGTTCACAGCACTGTGAACACTGCTTTGTTTAAATGGATAGCAGCCTTGTTATGGCTGCTATTGGTATGAGTCACTCATGTTATGCAATGAGTGAACCCACAGCTTTGGAATAAGCAATGTATACCAATCCCCTAAAGCCCTGCTCGCTAAAACTTTATGGTATACATTTAGACCTCGTAGGCCAGAATGACTCTGGTCAGGAAGCAATCTTCTTCTAGCTTCAGATAGCTTTCTCCGCTGTGTAGCTTCAGGGTCTTTGAGATTGTTTGTTTGCTTTGGGATTTTTTTTTTTTTTTTTTCATTTTCTTAACAATGTATACTTAATAACCTGGACGGACAAGTCACGGTTTATTTTAAATATTATTCGTCACACCATTGCTATGGCTTGGTGGCCCCCTGCGACTCCTATGCAGTCAAAGTTAAACGTAGGTAAAAAAATAAATGTCCTAATCATTTTTATTTTTTTTATGTGTGAATCTACACAACAAAGTACAATGTTTGACATTGCATACTCCATCCTACAGAATACAGAAACCCTATTTTTAGTGATTTCTGTAATATAAGGGCTTCTCCAAGAGGAAATGTGTAGATTTGGGAAATCTGAGTCTTCACAACTTTTAAGGGGTTAACCCTAATTGAAAGTACATGTCCTACAACTGGCAGGATTTTTCTTTACAATTGTCAAAAAAAAAAGAGGAAAATAAATAACCGGAACTTCTCCTTTCCAGCCTTTTGCAATAAGGACCTGCTAATGGGCGCTCTCTGCCCCCTCAAAAAAAGATGCTTTTGTTGTAGGCGTAGATTAAAAGATGTTTCATAGAGATTAAAGTACCTCTTGAACAGGGCCCTGAACTTGTAGCTGAGAGCTCTATAGGAGCAGCACCAAAGCTGGCAAATTAATGCTCCTCACTGCCCTCAACGAAATGAAGGCCCTTTCTTACCCTTTTAGCATAAAACGTAGGAAAGTTTGCTTGTCGAATGTCAGACCATTGAAACTTGATTTCTGCTAATGGATCTCTTTAGCTCTTTCAACAAAAGAATATGCATGACATGTGTGATCTGCTTTTATTTACTTTTTTTCCTACACAATTTCTTATATTAGCAAGTCATGAAAATAAGTGTTTATTTTTTTTATTTTTTTTAAATGGCAGCGGCTTTATCTGTGGTTGATTCCAAAGTGCTGCTCATTTAGAGTATTATTTTATAATCTTGATATCCAGCTATTGTTGCTCACTTTATCCAAAAACACACTTTTTACATGTCGATATATGTATATAACGTTGGCATCTTAGCATTTATGATTATTCTTTATAGCCATATAGTCAGCAGAAGACATATATATTAATCATTTGTAATACTTTTGCTTTTTTTTTCTTTAAGTTTTTTTTATTTTTATTTTTTATCTCGTAACATTTCTAAAACTTTGTCTGCAATTACATTTGAAACATTTTTATAATTTAAGTAACGGTAGCCCCAACACAGAATTGCCAGTTTGTACATTTTGGCTCTCTGCTCTGATTGGACAGTTACTTCTTCCATCTGCAGAGAATTGCGGCTCAAGCTCTTTGTGACATCACAGCTAAAACGTTGCGGACCATAAACGCCACAGAGAGAGCCATGCAAGAAGCGTTGGGGGACGAAAGCCAGCATGTCGCCATCACTAGCACCAAGATGAGAGGCAGCAAAAAGGCACAGAGTGAATTCCAAAACCTTGAGGAAAATGTAAGAACGTAGGAAAAAATATACTTTAGAATAGTGGACATTGCCCATGAGACATAATTGTATGCCAAAAATACAAAGAATAATAAAAAAATAGTATAGTAAGTCGTCCATTAATTTCTTTAACTTGCATGTATCATTCTCACCTAGAATACTCAATCTGACCTCCTAATTCAGTTGCCAATGTCCATTTTCTGTCCATCAAGAGCTTTACCATAAGCTACCCTTTCTCTATTTAGATTTTAACCCATTCATTTTATCAGCCTGGTACCTGCTTGTACTAATTATCTAGTAAATACTAGTTCCAAATACTAAAAATCTTGTTCTTGAAGATGTCTGACTTTTTAGATCAAAACATCCCTCACTCTCTCTTTTTGAATGCAGTTTAACACCTTTTCATGAACAATCCTGATTCGCTTCTCTTTATGAATCTTCTCTTTTAATATGCATAAGCTTTCCAAATTACTTTATATTCTTGGATAAACTTTTAAAATGTAATATTTTGAAAAATGCTTTAATATTTTGATATCTTTGATATATAGATTTTTATAAATGGTAATATTTTGGGGAGAAAGTCATTGTAAAAGCTTATCCAAAAATATTAAACTGAGGTCAATGTTTGTTCTAGATCTTTATCAATGTTAAGTGAATCTAAAACCACCAACATCACCGCAATGGTTACTCAAAAGTTTGACACACTTTTATTTTTTACTGGATCTTCCTTTCTTACCAGCACTTGTTTTGTTCAACTTAGCCTACTCATACTAGGTGCATTTATTTTCTACTGGTTATTATTTGGTGAGATCCATGTGCAAATGCATGTCATGTGCAATATGACTTTTCACTAATTGCATGTTACCAATATCTGAAGAATGATTTCAGGTATACTGAGATTATAGTTACACAGCAAGTCCACTAACTCCAGTTTTTAACACATCGCTCTCTTTCTGTTGATCCAAAAGAAGAGAAATGGCAAACAGATTTCTTCTTGGTGAAAATGCTTGTTAAAAGGAAAAAAAACAAAATAAGTTAATACAACCTCTGCAAATTGTATTGCAGTTTTTTTAATAGTTGCATAGTTTAACTCATCGAAAAAAAAAAGGTAAACGTCTTTATTTTGTTTCGATCTCAAAACCTTAATTGACTTGTCTTCCTCATAGTCTGGTGGTGACCGTTCAGGAGAGCAATACATTCCCAGACTCTTGTAATGTCTTAGGTTATTGTACTTACTCAACAGCTAAGCAGCTGACTGAGGCCCAAAACTAACGATAACGGAGTCTTATTGAACACGGGAAAGTTCTAAAAAGATATGTTGACTATTCACACTTTGAAGTATCCACTGTATGAAATATTAAAGGACCACTTAATACTCCCAAACACTTTTTCTCAATGAAGTGCTCTAGGTTGCATATTACTCCTCCAATGCTCTTTTACGAGGAGCATTGGATTGGACCTTTGACAAGGAAGCAACACCTCCTTGATGACCTCACATGAGGCAGAAAAGTCTGCAGCACCCATGGAGTCTTGGCACTGGAAAAAGGCTAGTAAAACTAACAAACCTATCTTTATTACAAATGTAGGTAGAAGGGCCTGGGTACTAACTAGGGACTATGGCACAATATCATTAGAAAAACAGGTTTGCATTAATATGTATATATAAATAAGATGGTGCATACAACTTAATACATCATGCAGTTCTCAGTGCAATTGCAGCAACTAACGTGAAACCCTGGTAATGAGGTTTAAATGCAATCAGAGTGGTCTTTCATTTTACACAGCTTGGGAAAGTTCTTTGGAGTATTATTTTATAATCTTGATATCACAAAGAGCACTCTGATTGGCTTAAACCAACCAATCAGAGTGTTCTTAGCCTAATTTCCGGGTGGGGCATGGCTTTATAAGCCTTCCCCCGCCCTGCAGAGCTCAGTCTGCGCAGAGCCCTCCATGGGTGAAGATGGATTATTTTTTTAGTGTCTGTTTTTTTTCTTTTTCGTCAGGTTGGTTTTTTTTTTGCGCTCTGGTTTTTTATTTTATTTTAGTTATTTTATTCCCCCCTCACTATTTTTAGGGTGAGAGGGGTAGGTAGGGGATAGTTTTATTTGGGTGGGGGGGTGACAAGGGGCTTGGGACCCCTAGTCACCTTGATTGGGGGGGTAAATTTTAATTTAGGGCCCCCACCTGCCGCTCAGTGGGGGCCAGGGGGAGGACAGTAGGTCCCCCCTCTTATTGTTTTTTAGGGCCCCCACCCACCGCTCAGGAGTGGGGGCCGTGGGGGAGGACCATAGTTCCCCCCCCCCTTATTGTTTTTTAGGGCCCCCACCCACCGCTCAGGGGGAGGACAGTAGGTTCCCCCCCTTATTGTTTTTTTAGGGCCCCCACCCAGGGGTGGGGGCCAGGGGGTAGGACAGTAGGTCCCTCCCCCCTTATTGTTATTTAGGGCCCCCACCCACCGCGCAGGGGTGGGGGCCGGATAGTAGGGTTTTTTTTTTTTAACAGTGAGCAGCCACAGGCCGTATAGCGAGTAGGGGCATTTGGGAGATTTAATCTCCCTTATGCTATTATGGGGGTCATATTGACCCCCATAGAGTGAGGGAGGACATGGGGGGTTTAGGAAGTGGTGGGGAGCACTGCTCCCTGCCGCTTCTATCTTTACATATTACAAGGAGGGAGCTGTACGCTGCTAGCTCCCTCCTTGTAATAAACTGAATGAACAAACAAACACTGATATTCAGTGTTTGTTCATCTGAAATTTCTATTTATTCATTCGTCTTTCTGACGAATGAATGAATAGATGAAATTCCTGTTCGCATGCCCAAGTGTTTAACTGGGCATGTGCTGGAAATCTCACAGCTCTATCTAGTGTGGGCAGATGACGTGTACCCACATAAAGATGGCGGCGCCCTGAATATAGATCTGGGCAGAAAATAAAGATTAAAAAATAGGTAATATGGGGGGCTTAGGGGCATTTGGGGATAACTAGGGGGTGTAGTGGAGACGGGAGGGTTGTTAACAAAAAACGGGATTCGGCCATGACAGTGCCGCTTTAGTGTACATCCTCTTAAAGTGATATTTACACTTTACCACTTCGGTGTATTTTGGGTGTATACAAAACCAGTTATTCTGTGATTTAACAATTCAAACTGCAGTGTGACGAAGCTATATATACTTGCAAACTTGCAAAAACACAGTTGCGATATCTAAATAGGAGACAAAAGAAACACAGAAAACACTCCTAGTGCAAGAACATTACAAGATAAAATGTATTTTAAGAAAACTCTTCTAGATGTTCAACTCCCAAATAGAGAGTGGTAAAACAGAAGTATGTAAAAAAATCTGTATTTTGAGGCATAAAATAAAATCCTACTTTAACCCCTTAGGGACCAAACTTCTGGAATAAAAAGGAATCATGACATGTCACACATGTCACGTGTCCTTAAGGGGTTAAATAATGTGTATCCAACGTGTGTGTATATGTGTGTGTGTGTGTGTGTGTATGTATATATATATATATATATATATATAACAAATCAATAAAAAATAGATACATTTTTAAACAATTCTAGAAAATTACAAAGTTCAAAATCTAGGTTAAGACCGGACAGGGCTAAAGTCTCTAGTTGGAAAATCCATCTCATTTCCTCCTGTCCGATCTTGCAAAATCACCTCCCCTCCAATCCCTAGATACCTGTTTAATACCTAAAAATTCTAACCAACTAGGGTTTTGTCCATGAACCCTTTTAAAATGTTCCGAGACACTATGACTCTCAACTCCCTTCCTTATATTGTAAACATGCTCCATAACCCTTATGTGGCGAGAATGTGTTGTCCTCCCCACATATTGTAAGTTACAAGGACATTTCAATATATAACATTACTACTATGGCAAGTAATATGTTCCTTAATTTTAAATTCTTTTTGTGTCCTTTCTGATCTGAATTGGAGAACTGGTTTTCCATTGGTGCAATGCGTGTTTTTACATGTGTAGCACATTTTACATATGTAAAAGCCCACAGGACAACCTAGAAAAGTGTCAAATGTTTTTTTGCTTTTTTCTTTGTAATAACTCCGGACTAAAGTATTCCTTAGTTTAGGGGCACCCCGGAAGGTGATTTTAGGTCTCGGTGGTAATATATCACTTAAATCTCTATCAGTTTCTAAAATGGGCCAGAATGTATTGATTGTTTTCTTAATAGACCTATACTGATTATTAAAATCGAAAGCATTCTTAAAATTATCTTGGTCATTCTTCTTTTTTCTATCCTTTTGAATTAGTTCCCATCCTTAAGATATCCTTCACTATTCTAAGGGCTTCCTCCAAAATAATCTCTGGATATTGTTTCTCTCCTGTGCCTGTTTTTGAAATATACCCTCCTCTGTACAGTTTTGACTCAGTCTGAGCAGGAAAACAAAAACAAAAATAAGCACTACCAGCAGGTGTCACCAGAGAGATAGATAAATAGTATATTGATGGAGTCTTAAACTTAAACAGTGATAACTTTACTAAAATGGAATGTGGACAAATTATTTTCTACTCTCTGTCTAGATTATCATATCAATAAGCTCAGATAATTACTTGCCCATCTGGTATCATTAAAGCTGGTGCTGTACTGGCACTGCATATACCAAGAAATTTTATACGGACTGCTTATCCTGATTTTAATTATCATTTCTTTATTTCTCAAGAAAGCAAGGATAGTGTACCTGGGTAGTCGACTAAGAATCCCAAATCGATATATAGATTAATAGCAGAATTGTTGCCAGACAGAGAACTAATCTGATAGAAATTAACAAAAATAAAAAAGTATTTACGGTATAAAAATAAATTTTTTATTATTGGTTGATATTGACAAACGTAAATAATACACCAAACGTGCTAATGTACATATAGTGAAAATAAGATGGGTGCTGGAAAAGAACCCTTTAAAAATACCCTAGTCTTAGTGTAACGAATCACCGGATATAGTACCGGTATCAGATATACTGATTCAAATACTATATGTGCTAGTGTGTACAGTCCCTTCTGATGAGCCAGGTCGGGCGAAACGCGCGCGTCAGGGGTTATCAGCATGCTACTCATATGATTTAAAAGTTTAGCATATGGACCTGCAACCGTGCTAGTCTGTCTATAATCTTTTTATTTACCTATATATTTTTTACTCTACTTTGACCTTTCATTATACTAATAGAGACTATTAGCTAGTGGGACTGTAGATAAGTGCCCTTGAAGGCACAGGGGGGGCTTTAGAAGTAATAGTAATACAGTTCTAGCCTATTTACTAAACAAATGGTGTGAGAGCGGTATCCTACCAATTATCGCTGGGGATGATTAGACAAAACTACTCCAGGACTAGTAGGGACACTGTCTATTACAAGCACTGGCAATGTACAGTTAGCTATATAGATCTTTATAATTAACGAATATTAGGGATATCATCCCAGGACATTCCAGCTTTTACTGTACACACTCGTACGTATAGTATTTGAATCAGTATATCTGATACCGGTACCATATCCGGTGATTCGTTACAATACCACTAGGTTATTTTTAAAGGGTACTTTTCCGGCACCCATCTCATGTTCACTGTATGTACATTAGCACATTTGGTGTATTATTTACGTTTGTCAATATCAGCCAATAATAAAAATGTATTTATTTTTATAAATACTTTTTTATTTTTGTTAATTTCTATCAGATTAGTTCTCTGTCTGGCAACAATTCTGCTATTAATCTAGATATCTATTTGTGATTCTTAGTCGACTACCCAGACTACCCAGGTACACTATCCTTGCTTTCTTACATTTACTTTTGTGGTTACCCCCTCTCCTCTCAGTGTACCTACCAATTGGCTCTATCTCCGTTTGTTTGTCTTCAATTTGCTTTATTTCTCTACACATCTTTTTCACTTTTAAATTGCAACATTAAAAGTCAAGTTTTAACAATCACATTCAATAGTTTGACTCAATATACTACTATCTATCTATCTCTCTGGTGACACCTGCTGGTAGTGCTTATTTTTGTTTTTTATTTTACTTTGTTTTCTATCATTTTTTTTACCCAATATTGATAATCTATTAGGGGTTACCCCTTGCTTTCTCCCTACTACCACCACAGTGTCCTTCCCAACAATAAAGGCTTTACTTTAGCTTTAGTTTAATGTTTGATCTTTTTCTAAAAGGTATCTGACAGCCATACAGCCCTTGTCATTAGGTATACATGTATACAGGGAGGTGACATCAAAGGTTACCAAATAGTATCCCTCCTTCAATGTCAGATCCTTTAACATCCTCAGGACATCCGTTGTGTCCTCCAGAAAGGATTTAGTTTTCATTACCACTGGTTGAAGGAAGGAGTCAATATATTTAGACAAATTATTAGAAATAGACCCAATCCCAGAGATAATCGGTCTCCTGGGTGGATTGAGTAAGTCCTTGTGGACCTTCGGCATGACGTAAAAAACTGGTGTTTTAGGTGACTTTATATTAAAAAATTCATATTCTTTAGATGTTAATATACTTTCTGGTTTTACTCTGTCGAAAAAAGTCATGTCAAGGACCTCCTCATATTTTTTCCAAAGGGTCTCCATTTAATTTGGTATATACCTCCGTATCCTCCAACTGTCATGTGCATTCTGCCACATACTTGTTAGAATCCATTATCACCAAACTACCGCCCTTATCTGTGGGGTTGATGACAATTTGATCATTTTCTCTGAATCCTTTAAGGGACGCACTTTCTTCCAAAGTGAGGTTACAACCATTATTATGTTTACCCATTTTTTAAAAATCATTAAAAAGGGATGTATGTTTAAAACCATAATTTTCCTCAATTTTTTGTGTTATATTAAAACTATTATTTAAAAAGAACTTTCTAATAGATAATCTCCTTCTATATTTCATTAGGTCTTTATAACCCGAGAAAGAATTAAAGTGCCTCATAGGTGCAAATTTCAAGCCTTTATTTAAGACTTTAATCTCATAGTGTTGTGGTATAAAGTAAGTGAGATAAAACCTGCTCACCTTAAAAAGAGCCAATAGGACCTGGCTCTGGGATAAAAGGCTGTTGTGAAGAAATTCCCTTTTGTTGTATTATGTATACCCATTGCATTCCCTTTTTGTTACACTATTTCTGCCCATTGCATTCGGTAGATGTAACTATCGAACAAGGACCACCCCTCTGGCTCATTAAACATCAAAGTCTGGTGAAATTGCTACCTTTGTCTGTGCGGCCAGCATTCGTACAGTCGAACGCCACGTGGCAGAGAAAACAGCGGCCATCTTTGTTCATGCGAACAAAGGCAGCGGGACCTGGTCGTCGAGTGCATGGAACTGAAAACGGACACGCGACTTCCCGAACACCGGTCCCAAACAGACGAACGCTGGAACTCTATTTACCGAATAGCCAGAAGAGCGCTATTCGGTACTTTGGTGTATTCGACAGAGGGGCACGAACGCTGCTAGGAGCCAGAGGGATCCATTCGGTACTTTGTTCATTTTTCTGCTATTTCTAAAGTGACTGGCAAAACCCACCAAATTCATGGAACTGTTTTGGGCATGCAGACCAGTGTGAGCCGGTCACAGGAGACCTCCATAGTTTTTGCAAACCCCTGAACCGATCTGGGTGAAATTCGGATATGTTGGTCACCCAGATCAGGGCTATCAGGAGACATGTGAATTGTGGGGATACCCCAAGTATAAAGGGCTGTTCCAGTTATTGGGGGAAAAGGGGATTTTTCAGCCCGGAGATAAAGTTATTCTTTTATCAGACTGAATTATCTCCTGGGCTAGGGGAGGAAACTGTGGGTGTGTGTTGAAGTTTTACTGTATGTGATTGGTTAATGTTTGTCCCTCCCTGAGGGCTGTCCCCTTGCATGGGGACTTGCATAAAAGCTGTGTGCACCCATTAAAGGCTAGTTCATTTTGTACCCTTCTTCTTGACTTCGGCTGATGTTTGGGGATTCGTGTGTTTCACTAAGGGAATCATCTTGTGAAGCTATTGGAATTGCTATAGGATTCGTCTACCCTATCTACCGAACGGAGGGCTATAATCACTAAAGCTCTGGTGGTTCGGGAGGAAACTACAGAATGAGGTTTAAATATACTTGGTTTCCTTACAGCTTTTAACATATTAAAGGGGTGTAACCCTTCTTGTGTAAGAGGCAAATGGTAACAAAATCGCCAGCAGGACTGAAGATAAAGTACTCATTCCACTAAGGATTTTTCTTTGTGCTTTATTCCTGTGCTCTACAAGAGGAATCATGAAGAGGGAAGGTGTGACCTTAATACACCAAAGCGAGTATGATCGGAGCCAGTCCCATTTATGGCTCTATTTTTGTGAGTGTGTCTATTTTTTATTAACTATTGAATTGTGGTTA